ATTTTTCAAAATATATATTATATATATGTATATATGAAAAATATATCAAAAGTGCATGTGGGTACTCAAATGAAAGCTCTTGATGAGTTTAACATCAAGATGAGCTTATATCTTTAAAAACCTCAATAGTTAAGAAAGTACAGTGCAATTTAACGAAAGTCTTTATTGAATAAAGCAAAATTCTATTTATTTATAGTTCACAAATCATGGCAGTCTCATAGTGACTGCACGGTTGCTACACAGAAAAAAAAGTCATCTTGAGTCAAGTAATATTTACTTGATCCAAGTATATTCAACTGAAGATAAAATATATTCTTGAGTTAAGTAAATTTTTTTCTTGTTTTGGTGAATCTTGGTTTAAGCAAATATTCCCTAGTTCCAACATGCTTACCAACTTGAGTGAAGAAAAAAACCTCTTAATCCAAGTAAATCATTCTCTTGGTTTTTGAACTTGCTTCATGCAACACGGGCGTATCGAGGCCCGAGTAGGACAGCAGCCGCGCGGAAACCCATTTTCAACATTAAATAAAAATTATTGTTTATGGAGCTAGAGTTCCGGGAGTCGAGACTTTTTTTTCAGAAATTTCCTCCTCTTTAAGGATCTTTTTTCTGATTGTCGATATCACGTATAGTTATTGAGTTATTAACCCAACAAATTTCTAACCGTGTACTTTGTATGAGTCGAGCGAATACTTATTATACAAATATTTTTGTCACTACACACTTAACTGTAAATCAGTAATATAATGGGAAATCATCAAGTTAAAAATTAATTAAAAATGTCTAATTAAATGAACACAAACAATAAAAATCATGCATAAGGTTATTTTTTTAAATTTAATTTTTTTTTTATTAAAAAAATCTCGGTTTAGTTCCAAAAAATCACGTCGCCAACGTTGGTGCTACTTTCCAAACCAAGAGAAAGATTTACTTAGGATAAGTATATGACATTATTAGTTCAAGAATAAACAAGAACTTGAAACAAGAAGTAAATTTTGAAGAAAAAGATTTTCTTGAGTCAAGATGACTTTTTTTTCTGTGTAGTATATTTTAATCAAAAATTTATTAGACTGAGCATCTATATCTTGTTTGAAGAAAATAAGGTGCTTCATTAAAGCGAAGTTTTTTCAGAGAAACTTCTGCTCATCTTAGAGTTTTAACTTATTGATTCGCAAGTTGATTTCTTTAGTTAAAAAACTAAATGCCTTGAAATAAGAGTGAAGTTTTCAACAAAATACTTTTTTTGAAGTAGTTTTTTATTTTCGGGGTATGAACTCTGCGTGATTGCATAATAACAAAGATATTAATGAAAGAAGTCCAAGAATCGCCTAATAAAAAAAATTCAAACTATCACCAGCGTATTTGATAACCAAATAATTACAAAATGAATTATGGTTCATTAGATTAATCATTATTACAAGCAGTGGTTGTTATGTTGCTCCCTATAGTGAAACACAGGTTACGCAGACTGAACTAACATCGATCGACATGCGACATGCGGCTAAGAACATAACGGATACAATAGACTAACTTTCCATTGTACGGCAAACCTTGAGCTCTAAAAAATACAGGTCCTAATTGAACTGACTGAAATCAGTACAACATTTTGTATAAAACCGCTCATCAGGAAAATAAAAAATATCAGTTTTAACGGTTGGCATATTTGGTGTTATGCTTGAATGAAGAAATCGCAAGCAAAGTAGTCTTAAAATGATATTGTTAGCGTTTGAATTCGCTGGGATGACATGAATCGTCAACTCTGCTACTTTGCTGATCAATATCTACAGATGTGTGTTCTTAGGGTAAGTTTACTTAATTGTTGCTACCAAATGAGAATAAACGTTGACAAAGCGGATTTCTTTTCCAGCACAGTTGCATATAAAAAAGTTTGATTTTCTTGATACTAAAAATAAGTTTTAAGAAATCTAAAAAATATAGAATTATATTCAACTTTTAACAAATTCAAGAAATTTTATCATAAACATCACCAAGAAAATATCAATTAACCCTTTGACAGGCAAACTGAGTAAAAAGTACCCACCCCTAAAATTTAACTTCATTAGAATTTGACAGACTTTGTTAATATTAAATGTTTTTTTATATTATTAAATTATTTCAAAATTATATTTATCTTACAAATACAGAAAAAAAAACGCCATTTGGCTACACCCGAAATGGAAAGTAGATTTCACAGAATGAATTATCATCTTATCCCAATATTGCCTGAAAATGGTTCAATTGCACTCTTAACTTTGATAAAATAACTAAGTATGATCAAATCGTCAAAATTATATACGTTAATTTAAAGGTAATTTCATGAGCTTTCACATGAATTTATCAAAAATTAGCCATCTCTTCTCAATCAAAAGTTATACATTAATGAAGTCACCAAAAAGGTGATTTTCACGATTTTGATAATTTTGAAGAGCTACAAAGAAAAAAAAATTTATTTGAATCAAGTAAATAATTTTGAAGAATTTAATCTTTTTGATTTGAATAGAAAATTTCTTAAACTAAGAAATTTTTCTTGGTTTAAATAAATTTTACTTAATTAAAGAACTTTTCATCTTGATTCAAGACGACAAAACTCTTCAAAATTATTTTTTTGATTCAAGAATTTTTCTCTTGATTTAAGTTAATTTTTTTTTCAGTGTACCATTACTAAACTTATTGACGGATTTCGCTTATCTTCAAACTCATTCAAGGTTATTACCTAAAGAATATGTGTACCAAGTTTCATCTAAATTCGTTGAGAATTGTAGGAGCTATCGTGTACACAAGATATACATATATAAACTTTTGAACCAATACTATTTTTGAGCCATACTGGACTAGTTAGATGATATTATAGCAAAATCCCGACTTAATTTTGACATGAGGACCAATGCATTAGATAGATTTCAATGAAATCTGCCTAAAAATTAACTTGAATCAAATGAAATTTACTTAAACCAAGAAATATTTTTGAGATTTAGAATTTTTCTTCTCAAATCAAGTTATTTACTTCAAGTAAATTTTTTTTCTGTGAAGAAATATTCGAGCTTTAATTTAAAAACAAAAAAAAAATCTTTGCCTCTATTGAATACTTAAAATAAAATTGTACTAGTTTTCTTTACCCTCATTGCTATCAAAGATAAACTGTTTAGATGTTTGCCTGTCAGGGGTTAAAATAAAGTAGTCAGAGTAAAAGTTTGCTTTGAACTGAATACAGGTAAAAAGTGTTTTGCTTCAAGTCTAACTAGTACCAATAAATTTTAATAAAGAACTGATTAAAATTTCATTTTTGTTTTGATTTGAAAGCTGTAATTATGATTTGTTCGACTAAAAACGTTTCATCAAAATTAATCTTTCAGTTTGAATAATAAAATCCTGCAAGTTAATTTTAGAAATTTTTATTTTAAACCTTATTGGTTGCTTCTTCCTTTAATTCGGACAACGACTTTGATCTATAATGTATGAAACACAGTCAGTTATTACAAATTTATATTCTCACACAGTAACTCAGTCAAATTGTAATTAGACAATCAAATCCTTGTGTACCTGTTTTTGTTAAATTAATCATTAAGTTGATTCTGGGTTACAATAGAACTCAACTTCACCCTGAGAAACCTATAAAAAGGGTTCGTTTGCTGACTGTGGGTGGTAATTAATATCTGAGGAGCGTGTAATAGTAAACAGAGGTAAACAAGCTGCAAGGGTAATTTGTTAGTGGATCGATGGATTATTGAAGAGCATGTTTGCTCTGGAAGCAATCTGTCAACGGAGTGAGCTGACAAACTGAAGAGCTTTTTAAAATTTTTTCAGATCTTTCATTGACTTTACGCTTACAGTACTTATAAATATTTACATAAATATTTTGAATGTTCAGTAAGTTGATAACTAAGTGGAACATAATACATAAAACAATCTATTTTAAGAGACATAAATGAATCAAGTGATTATAGTGTGCTACAGTTCTATATCATTTAAAACTTTCAAGCGAATTTGAATATTCCAATAATTATATATAAACCATCAAGCTGACAAAAATATCTTTCAACTCAATTTTACCACAAAGTAAAATCAAATTTACTTTAATGGGGCTTGCGTCACTTGAAAATGTTTTTTCAGAAAATTAGATTGTAGAGTTGATGGGTAAAGTGGTTTGTAAATAAACCATTTTTGGAAATTGTATTTTTGAGATTTATTAAAATCACTTTGGTCAATTCAGAGAAAAAATTTCTGATTCATTTTTCATCTATGTCCAAGAAAAATTTTTCTCATGCAACTGTTCTGTTAGGAAAAGTCAAAATGTTTGAAATTTCAAAAAAACATCTTTTTTTAAATTAAAACAAAAATATTAAAAGTTGGAAAAAATTCTGACTCATGTTTTTGGGTAAAATTTTTATTTCATCTTTTTTTGATGTTTTTGATTGCTAATTTAAATTTTTTAATGAACTAATTACTAGTTTTAATTTTTTTTTTCAATTTAAAAGTTTTCAATAAATAGTTAAGAAAAACTTTTTTTAAATTGAAAGATCTAAAACTTAAAATTTCACGATTACACTGTGAAACTCGTTTGAAGCAGCTTTTAAAAAAGTTCTACAAAGGAGAGCAAGAAGCTTTCAATAAATAGCAAGAGTCTTATCGATTAATTATAAACTTTACTAAAATTAACACAATTAATATGATCTGATTAAGAAGTCTATAAAAGTCCATTGAAGACTCCAAGGGCAAAATGACAACAAGAAGTTATTCAAAAGTGTAAGGAGGAATTAAATGAGCAAAGCCAATACTTGTGATTGGAACTTGGCATGATATAAAATGCTATTATAAACAATATAACAGATAGTGATTTGATTTTCTATAAAATTGTTGGACTTTCTGTGATATGAGTTAATAAGCACATGGAAAAAAGGTCAAGGTTATCCACGTGCAAGTATAAAGTAGTTCTCTTAGAGGTATCACATGTATATCTTCTTCTACATAAAAGCAGAATATACCTAGATACTTTTTAGACACCTTATGCACATTTTAGCAATATACTGTTAGGCATTATTATATACCGGTAGTTCGTTGGATAGAATAAGAAGTATTGATGATACTTACACTTCTATAGCTTTGTTCCAGTTGATCACGTAACCAGATAAAACAAAGGTCTCGATGTGAAGCACATGAATGTTTCCCCTTTCAGTACCAACATACAGCCACTTGCTTTGTAACGGCAGATGGATTGACGTTATCCTACGAACAAAATACCAAGAATTGAATACAGAAAAAAAGAGAGAAGTACAAAAATATAAATAAAAAAATTCTTTTATTTAGAGACAAAACGCTAAAAACTACAGACATTTTGTTTATGGAACAGCTTCACTGATTATAAAAGGCGAGACTTTTTTTAAAAAAATTCTTTCCGAACGGGAAATTAAAAAACTTTAATGCAACTGTATTCAAAGTAGAACAATGTGTGTTTGTTAATGTGATTTCAATTTAAATTGAGATTTTATACACTTTTCTTTTTTATTAATTCAAAAACTAATAGAATTTTCAATGTTAAAAAATAAGTAGCAGGAAAAATAGGCGCTGATAATCTTTACTTATGTAACATTTCAAAAGATTTTATCCATCAATTTCATTAAAAAGTTTATAATTTATTATTACACGCGAACGCTTACATAAATTGATCTATAATTTTACTAGCACGTAACTTTGATCAATATAGCTACTTTTAGACAAACTATTAGGTTCATTAAGCTTAGAGGTATTTGTGGCGTATATCCGACTATAATCTTCATATAAATCTTTAAAATTCAAAAAAATTAATAGAAGTAAACAAGTATATTATTTTTTTGAACATAATTAATATATCTGCACAGAAAGAAAAATTTCTTGACTGGAGAACAAAATTCTTGGCTCGAGAAAATTTTATTTTTGATGAAAGTTATTTTTTCTTAATTCAAATTATCATAAATACTTGGTACAATAAATTTTTATATTTGAGCAAGATTTTTAGATACTTTAGGGAAGCAGTGCCACCTACTTCAGCTGAGAAAAAAATTTTCTCACCTTGAGAAAATTTTTTTCTTGAATATTTGATTGAATGAAAAAAAATGATTCAATATTATTTGATCTTCCCATTTGACATGTTAATCAATGAAAATATTAATAAAAATTTAATTCTATCTTTATATTCAATTTTTTGGAACAAGAGAGAAATTTTCTCAAGACAAGAAAATTTACTTCTATCAAGAACTAAATTTTTTGGAGCAAGAGGCTGAATTTTCTCAAAACAACAAGATTTTTTTGGCTTAAATAAATTTTCTTGGATCAAGATACGTATTTCTTATAGCAAGATAATTAATTTTGTTGGAATAAGTGAAATTTCTTGTATAAAAAAAAATTTTTTTTTCGCTCAAGAAAATAATTAGGAAGAAAAATATTTTCTTGGCTCAAGTGAACCTTTTTTTTTTGTGTGTGAGATTCAAAATAATCGATCAAACAAATCGACGTTCTAATTAGCAAATTGTCTAACTACATTTTAGAGAATCTTCTATTTGAAAAAACAATTAGTTCAAAATTTATTATCACTTTAAAAAATAATTTAATATCTAATATCTAATAGAAGTATAATATTTTGGTTTGGATCCTTAAAATAATTTAAAATTAAATTATTGCTGCATCAAAATGTTAAAAAATCACCTTCTAAAAAATAAGGAGAGACCAATTGCTAATTAGACCGTGGAAATATGAGATTATTGTTGAAATCAATTACTTTATTATAATTATTATTTTGACTTATTAATGCTATCGATGGTAAATTTCTTATTATTAGAGTAAAAATAATTTATCAAATCATTATTATATCACAATTCATCTCTAAGTATTGCATAAGCTACATATTGGGTGGCAATTAATCATGTTTTCCATTACCGAATGATAGTCATAAGTTATAATAATGCACTTGATGTGATTTATGACTACAATAACCCTCGTAAAAAAATGTTACTGTGCGCATCCAATCTCTGGCCAAGACCTCGAAGAACAATGGATAAATCTAGATAGATTCACCCTCACCCTATAATTATAACAATTTCAGAAAAATTTATTTTTCTTTTTGACCCTGTTGTAATTTTTGTACCTTAAAAATACCTCGAAAAATTGATCATAAATCTCATATATAGATTCTAAGAAAACAATAAAAAAAATACCATTTTTTTCTTCGTAATAAAATATAATAAAATACTACGTTCACCCTCCTACTCCCCTAAATTTGTTTTTCAAGTAGAAATTAATTTTCATCAAAAACTGATAATCAAAAAATTGATCCAAAGAATTTAAGATAAAATGAGACTTTATAGTTGAATGCTAAAAATAAAAAAGATTTAACTTAGTAAAACTAGCAAAGTGGAGAGAAATTCCAAATGAGCTTCTATACAATCAACTGAATTAATTTTATTCATTCCGTACTGAATAACTATAACGAATTCTAAGAAAAATACCAATTCTACTTGACTATACTTCCACTTATGAATCGATTACTAATTCATTGTTCTTTAACATCTTCAAAACTGTGTCATAACTTGAACTATGTTATAAGTCGTGATATAAGTATAACTTTTTCAACTTTTGATAAGAAAATCGAAAATTTTCAAAAATTTAGGAAGCTATTGTTTTCAATTTAATTTTAAAAAGTCCAGTTTTCATCGGATGTCTACTAAACGTAGAAACTAAACGTTTGAAACGTAGAAAATAACTTAAAGCGTATTCGATAGATAAATTTTCAATTTTTAAAGAATCCAAATTGAGTCAAGTTCTTCTACATTGATAGAAGGATTTGTTTTATTTAATTAGCTTTATTAACTGTTAATAAATGATTTTTTAACATCATAAGATTTAATAAATATTTATTACCAGTTAATGAATTATTTATTAAATGTTAATAAATATTTGTTAACAATTAACATTAACATTAATAATTTAAATTTTAAATTGCCTAATTATACAACAACACAATATGAAAACTCTTTTGTAATTACTGTTATACGTTTATGGGAGGAGTTACCATCTGATATTGTTGATTCCTCAAGCTTATTAGGCCTTGGTATAAATGAATAAATCTAAATCTAAATAATTGTCTCCAAATAAATTAAATTATTAATAGTTAATAAATCCTTCTATCAGTGTATGCAAGGTAAAATGATCTAAGTTGGTGTCAAATCTCATTTAAGTCATTAAAAAGTTTAAGATTAGTTACGTGTGTACACGGATAAATTAAAAGTTGGGAGAACTTTTAAGAACCTTGAAAGTTGGATATTTTTCTAAAAACGTGACTTTCAAAAATGGTTCGGTAAAATTTTCAATTTTCTTTATAGAAAAAATAAAAAGGTGGGATAATTGGATTTACTTTGATGTTAAAAGCCTAACTTTTCAAAGCAGACTTTCCCATTTTGAATGCGAACTGTTTGCATGTAAAGGAAAATTTTTAATCTTCCTGTAAAGTGGAAACTTTTAGTCACTATCGAAAACTTTGGCGCCCTCTAACTAATTTCATAAGCATACCGCAACGGCGTTTAAAACATCATGAATAAATTCATTGTTACCGACCACTTTGTGCTTTCAACGCTTGTGGCTTTGGTTGATGTATAGGGAGGGAGGCCAGGTGGATCAATGAAATCATAATTTACGTTCACATAAATTCAATTTCGTGATGACGACAAAATTAATCTCTTCATAAATAATGATCATTGTTCATCTCACTAATTCAGTTTTACTAATAGAGAAGACTAGTTTTTTTTTCGTATTATTTTAATTAAAAATTATCAATACTATTATATCTAATTTTAGCTATCAACCTCTTCAGATTTTCACTCTTTTTATCCGTCACTTTTTTCTCAATACCAATTAATTTTCCCATTATCTGCTACACTTGAATCATCAACTCTTGCCTAAATAGACTCTCGAAAAGCTAGTCAAATAAAAAACGATCGTTTTATAAAATTGTACGCTGGGAATGACTAGTTGAGTGCACTAGTAGATTATTTAATTGGCGAATATCTTCAAGTATCGAAATAATTATAATTTGAAAAAATTCATTTTAAAACTCAACATTTTAATTGTTGCTATTTTAAAAAAAGTAGCAATCAGAATGAAAAGAACAAATTATACAAATGGAGCAAAAAATTCACCATTTTCTATAAGTGGCTATTGGACGATTTAAAATACCATAAACTCATAAGCAAAACTGGTAAAAAGTATATTATCAGTTGATTATATCTATATTATTAAGAGAATAGTTAAATTTGGTATCGTTGGAAAAATCTTGACCTGAGGTTGTGCCTTTTCATGGTTTCATATTAGTCTCACCAATAGTCAATTTATTATAATAAGTATTTAAGCTGCATTCGAATATGCTCTATCTCTAGATACATAATTAAGAAATGACCTTATATCTCGTGAACTATTAACATTTTTAAAGATATAAGCTCATCCTGACATTATACTCATCGAGACCTTTTATTTGAGTACCCACATCAATTTTTCATATATTTTATATATATTATATATATGTATATATGAAAAATATATCAAAAATGTATGTGGGTACTCAAATGAAAGCTCTTGATGAGTGGAACATCGGGATGAGCTTATATCTTTAAAAATGTGAATAATAAAGCAATGACGTTGTATTTTGTCCACTGATGATATTTTTAACGATATAAGCTCATCCTGAAGTTACACTTATCGAGATCTTTTATTTGAGTACCCACATCAATTTTTCATATATTTATATATATTATATATTCATATATATGAAAATATATATCAAAATGCATGTGGGTACTCAAATGAAAGCTCTTGACGAGTGTAACATCAGGATGAGCTTATATTTTTAAAAACTTCAATAGTTGAGAAAGTACAGTACAATTTACCAAAATTCATTATTTAATAAGCAAAATTTTATTTATTAATAGTTCACGAGTCACGGCAGTCACATAGTGACTGAAAGATTGCTAGTATTTATTATTTACATTACCTCTCACGTTGAAATTTAAGACTCTGTATAACTTGAGGAATTTTCTGTCTCAAATTCCACAGATGTAACATGTCATCCGCAGTTACGGAAATCAGGGCACCTTCATTGACAAGAAACTCAAGTTGAATAACAGCCGCACCACCTTCATGTTTAATATTAACATCAACACCAGGTCTTCCAAGTCTATCATTTTTTATAGTTAAGAAAAATTTTCTTCAAGAAATTAGACAAATATAGGGTAGGAGTACCGTTCATGGCCAGTGTACCTTTTTTGGCCTCTTTATTTTCAAATTATTGTATAAATATTTCTATAAGCGCAAGATTTTATGAATTCAATTTTTATAATTGTACTAATTCATAAATTCTATAAAAGATCTACTTGAATAGTTAAATTTTTTACAAATTAACTAAAATATTTTGTGGCCAAAAATGGTACTTCTACTTAATCAATTAAAAAAAATTATTAAAATAATTGTTATTTTGTTTTAGATAAGGATACAATCTTAATGATCCGGTCTTAGTACCAATGGCCAGTAATTTTTGTACTGGATCAAATGCAATTGCTGTTGGTTGATGTGGAAAACCATGACGAAATGTCTGTAATCAAAATAATAAATTATTATTATTTAAAATGAATTTTATTTGTCATCTGAATAGCAATTAAATTGTCCCAGTAATAACAGTCATGTGACTTCATTACAAGTATTTACAATCTAAGTCAATTTATTCAATTCACAGAGTTAAATGACACTAGAACAATTCATACATAATATAAGTATAAGCAATACAAAATCTTAACTTTTTACAACTGTATAAATTTGTACTGTTAATAAATTCAAGTCTGGTACTGAATTAGAGGAGTTGACTTGTAAGTACTAATCAAACTCTTAAAGAGGTCGGATCATTGTACAAGAATTAAATCAAGGGCAATAGTAAACAATTGACTAATAAAATCAAAATAATTCATCTAATTTTTTTTTAACAAAAAAAAAAATTAGTTAACTATGACAATTTTATTTCAGTGGATTTATTTATTTATTTATTTCTTTACATAAAGACCTAATAGCAATAGCCAATAACAGGGTCACTAGACAATAAATTTAACGTCCTTTTACAAGATCATATTCCATATAAAAGAACAAGTAAAAAACTATAATATTTTAATGTCCTTGCATTTTGAGAAAAGGAAAAAAAAAAGAAATAAAACTGAGAAATTTGTGTTTTAAACATCTGTTAAGATTTGAAACTCAGCCAAAAGATATTAAATTTGTAATGATGCATTGTTCAGTCAAATAATATTACAGAACTTTTATTTTAATGTTTTTTGGTAAATATTTACAAATGGGGTCAACCATTGAAATTTTTATTTTTTTTAACAAAATTTTTATTTGATTTTGTTGATTTATTTTATTTTTAAATAAATAAAAAAATGAACAATTTAAAGAAAAAGTTAATTATCACAATTTTACAAATTTTCAAAAAAATTTATCAATTTTTTAGAAAATTGTGATATTCACCTTTTTATTTTTTAATTGTTGTTCGTTTTTTATGTACTACTAAAAAAAAAAAAAATATATTAAAAAAAGATAAAATAGAAATTTTATCCAAAAACATGAGAGCCAAAATTTTTTCCAACTTTTGTCGGCAAAAAAGCTATTGAAATCTTTATTTTTTTCCTTCACGACATTTTTTATCATAAATGCACCGTAAAAATAATCAGAATAAACAAAAAATTTGAAAATGTTAATTTTTCACCTAGTTATGGCTCAAAATAGGGTGGACCCCACTTGTGAATAATTACCGAATTTTTTTAATTCACAAGTTTTCAGTGAACAGTTAAGGAAAACTCTTTTTAAATTGAACAATCTAAAACTTAAAATTTCACGATTACACTGTGAAACTCGCTTGAAATAGCTTTTAAAAAAATTTCACAAAGATGAGCAAGAAGCTTTCAATACATTGCAAGAATCTTATTGATTAATTATAAACTTTATTAAAATTAACACAATTTATATGATCTGATTAAAAAGTCTATAAAAGTCCATTGAAGTTTCCAAGGGCAATTTTTAGAAATTTTTACAAAATTTTTTATCATAAAAGCGCTGTAAAAACAAGTAGAATCAAAAAAAAATTTTTAAATGTTAATTTTTTACCTAGATGTAGCCAAAAATAGGTTTGACCCCAATTGTAAATAATTACCCTAATTTGTTTGAATACTACTATTACAAATTGATTGTAAATAATAACCAAATTTTTTTATGATTTTATTTAGTCGATAATAATTATTTAAAAAAGTGCTGAAATCGTAAACTTTCCCATAATTCTGCATAATTTTTTAAATGAACTTCTCTCAAGAAATTGCCGAGTCATTTTAAATTTAACGACAGAATTAATTGCGACTTAAAATATATCTACCAATAAATTATTTTCAACATCTTCTATGGAAAATTCAATTATACACGAGTCATTAAAAGATAGTAATCATTTTAATTTTTTTATCATACGCCATCAAAAGTTAAAATTTGTTCTGGTTAGCGTCAAGAAGATTGAACACCACGATATTTTTATCTGTAAAAAAACGAATAAAATAAATTAACGCATGCGCCAGTTTATCACTAACACAAGTAATTTCAACATTTTAAACTTTCGGCTGCAGATCTGTCTAAATAAAAAAAAAAAGTAGGAAATGGACATCCCAATCCGCGTGTTTATCACTCTGGGCTTTGGCTCGAGTGAGCAATTGTACACGAGAGTTGGAATGTCCTAGTTACCTCTCTATGTACGATATAGCATTCAGAATGCTAGAACGTAAAAAAGAAGTAATCGAAACCGATGATAAGCTTTGGAAATTGTGATTTACGAAACACGTCGGCGGTGTTTTTGTTGATAAAAAAAAAAACTGAATTGCGAACAAGTTTGTTACTAATAATAGAAACGCTTTAACAATTTCCAAACAATAGCATTCAAATAATATTTTTTGTTTATTTAGTTAAAAAATTTTAAAGTTTTTCAATTATAATCCGCAATAATTTTTAATCACTTATATTATATAGAGAAGAAAAGACAAGTTATTGTAATTTATAAAACAATTCTTTGTTATGTTTTGAATTTAGATTATGAAAACCGTTGTACCAGAGTTACCTCTTGGACGAGCTATATAAATGCTCATTATAACTAATTACTTTTAGATTAAAATTATAAAGAACTTGATAAAATTCATTAGAATGTTACAGTGAACCATAGAAAGATATGAAGATATAATTTTTCGTTCTTTTACTTGCTAATACTTGAGAAAAAAATTTTAATTGTAATATAATTTGGATTTTATATTTAAGTAAGACTTTAATTATATTTTTTGACATAAAAAATTCGAAAAAATAGAATATTTTATCGGTTTTTCTTTATTTTTTTCCAATAATTGATGGGCCGATAATAGAAATTGAGCCAACTTGATAAAAATAAATTTAATAAGAATTTATAAGTCTAAAAGTTAAAATATTACTTTAAATATTAAATCTAAAAGTTGAAATGTTAATTTATGATCAAAAGATGAAAAATAGAAAAAAATAATTTTTTAGTGTTAATTTTTTGAATTTTTACTATTACTATGCTTTCATAGAAATTAGGTAATTATTTACAAGGGTCTACTCTACTTTTGGCCATATAATATCTAGGTGAAAAATTAACATTTTCAAACTTTTTTTTGATTCTGCTCGTTTTTACAACGCATTTATAATAAAAAATGTTGTAAAAAATCAAAATGAAGTTTTCGAATGAAAATTAATTTAGCAGATATTCAATAATTTTTAGAACTTTTGTTAACAAATAAATTATGGCAAAAAAA